ATTCGTTGAATTTTGCACCATTCCGCCAACCATAGTACTCGCGCCAGATTTTCTGTCTGCGATATTTGTATTCCACTAAGGTTGTTGATAAAGATGTCTAATTATATGTTATATTGCTTATTAATTGGGAATAAAAAAAACGTTTTTGAAAGTAACAGTTCAAAACTCGAAACTGTAAAGTGAAATGAATCTTCACTGATTGTTTCTAGTACTTCATAGAGTGAAACTTAAGGTTTGAATTTCGTCAATGTTTCATTCATACAATGTATTAGAGGACACACTCGATCACTCGAACAAGAAAAATGCATGTATAAATCAAATCATCCCTTGAGCTAATCGATTGGAAATCAGATTTATTCTGATCATTCGGTGTATTTGAACTCAAGGCTTGCTCTGTTTAGAGCCAGGGTTTGAAACAGTAGAGGAAGTTCAGGAAATATCCTCACAAGTGTAGCCTTTAGGTATATTGATATTATTATCATTATATTGACAGAGTAATAAGATTTATTTTGATCACTCAGTGTATTCGAACTCAAAACAGTACAAAGTTCAGGAAATTGTTCGAGTGTCGATCCCTACTATGATTTTGACAGTCGAGTTTAAGGTATTGCGTACAGAATTACTAATTGACTCAGCAATTGTTGTTATGTTAGTTAATCMTGTCTTTTAGCACAAACTCTCACACTTCCAGATGAAACATGATTATTTGTTTACATTTTTGCAAGGAAGCTAACCTTTCCTCTCCGGAAAGGACTGAAGTAACGTGATGAAACACGCTATTGCGATAATTTACTTTTCGTCATATATATATTTACATTTTTTAAACTCGATTTTTAAATTTTCTTTCTTCTCTTCTCTTCTCTTCTCTTCTCTCCTTTGCTTCTTGGCTTAGTTTCATATCAATTTTATCGTCCCCCGAAAAAACTTCTGGACTATTTTATTTTTTCTCTTCTCTACTCCCCTCTTTACTCTTCTTCTTTTCTCTTTTCTCTCTTTTTTTCTTTTTCTTCTTTCTATCTCTCTCTTATATCCATTTTATCGAACACTTGAAACAGCCTCTAGGACACGTCTTCAAACCCTCTTCGCTTCTCTCTATGTCAGTAGCAAAAGTACACGAAACTTAATTATATAAAGACGTGCATGGATAACTTCGTGATTATAAAATCATTTACCTGCTATTGGCTGGCCGGGTTAATCTGTACTTTGACATAATATCAATCCACCGGATTCAATAACTAATACAAATGCGATGATCTCACTCCAATAACATGCTTTTTTTCGTTTTCGATTTGTCGATGAGATAATAATCGGAAATTGTTTTTAATCCTGATGTAGGATTAATCCGTAAAACGCTTTTTTAGTTAACGATAACTCACGAATTGGCTTCGAGTTGTTTTAGCGAATTTTTAACTGATACAGAAAGAGATCAGTTACTTTTCACTGAAGTTACTCTTGCTTTTGTTCAATGCCGTAGTTGTCATTATTGTTGTTGTTGCGGTCATTAGTTGTTACGGCTGCTGCTTATGTTATTATTATTCGTGCTGTTGCTGTTAAGTTGTTGTTGTCGCTGCTGTTGTTGTTCTAACAACTTAAACTGAG